AATGCAACTTAACATTATTTAAATTTGGATATCCCGCAGCCTGGAAAATATAAAGCCATGTAATAGATTAAGAAAATAAGACTAGGAGGGTCACTTTAGATGGTCGTGGGAGGTTTGCTCAGCATAAGGGTACCCTGAAAGGGGAGATTTTATTTTGTTGTGGCAAATTACGACAGGTGGCCTTTTCTACTCCACTAAAGGTTTCAATTAGCTAGAGGTGGCCCTGTTGCTCAATCTGTAACATGGTTTTATTTTGACACTGACATTATATAATAAGTCTTACTGTATTAGTCTAGATTAAATTAAGGGGGATGATATCAATGAGGTACTTTCCAACTACTCAAGCCTTAGCTATAGTTTGAAATGCTAATGGAATATCTTATTGAACAACTTTAAATCCTGTAATTTCAAATCCAGAAAGAAACGCCATCAAAACTTAAATAAGGGTGTCTAGGTGGTTCATTTGGCTGAGCCTCTGACTTCGGCTCAGGTCATGATCTCGGGGCCCTGGGATCCAGCCCTACATCTGGCTCCCTGCTCAGCGGGGGCCTGCTTCTCCCTCTCCCACTGCCCCTCCCCCCACTTGTGCGAGTGTGTGCCCTCTCTCTCTCTCAGATAAACAAATAAAATCTTAAAAAAAAAAAGCTTAAATAAGAAGATGACAAGTGTAAATGCAGTCTACTGTGAAGGAATGTACCTTTAAGCCGCCCATACATATAATATCCAACATGACCAAGCTCCACAGAGTACACGGTACTAACCAAGTTTAGTATTTCCAGGTATTATTCAGTATGAAAGAAAATTACAGGCTGAAACTTGGAAATAAACTTATTTTTTAAAGGAAACACATAACAGAGCTAAATCAGTCAGGGAAAGGTAAAGATCCTATCATGCATCAAGTACAATTCTGGCTTTAAGCAAAAGGAAAGAAATCAAAAGACGAGGACTGAGCATACTTTTCTCTAGAGATGTATTGTGATATTCTCCTGTAAAAAGAAACCAAAAAAAAAAAAAAGCTAACCCTTTAAATAAACATTTTATTTTTTCAACAGAAAGCTTGTCAGATAACTCTAAAAAATGGAACGGTTTCTCATTTCTACTCTAATGAAAAATAAAATAAAACCTCAAATCACAGGCTTTTGTGTTAACTTGGAATTTGCATGAACAAGTAATGCCTGTTTTATTGTAATAGAAAAACAACACTAACAATAATTTAAGAATGCACTGAATGCAATAAGCCCTTCACTGAATAATGTGAAAATATCACATGCTGTGAATGCTAAAATAATTAGAAATACACACATATGAAACAGCTGGCTGAGTCAGGCCCCACCAACTGGCATTGTTGCGCTTACGCTAAATGTCAACGCCCATGTTCAAGAAACTGCTATCATGCAACATAACCTTTGGAATTTCACAGTATCGGTCAAACATATAAAGCTAAAGCAAATTACCAACACTATATCTGTTTTGTGGTAAGAAGAGAGGGCAAAATACCTGCAACTTTATGAACAAATTCTACCACCCTAAGTAAATAATGAAGTCAAATAAAACAACAGCAACAACATAGAAAGGTTCTGTTCCACACCATGTTACATCCCATCATCACAGAACTCACCCTTCCTTAATCTTTCATGTGATTCTGCTGTTTAAAAACTTCCAAAATTTAATCTTTCTTAATTATCCTTCTTTAAAATTCAAAATCTAATCATTTCTTATTTTTTAGAGTCATTATAACTAAAATAACAAGGCAGAAAGAAGACAGGGAACAAAGTAATAATCAGCAAGCTGCTACTCTCTAGAGGCTTCTGAATATGTTTATTTGGAATATGCTTATTCAGAAAAAAAATCTACTAAGATAACAATATATTATTCATGCAATTATATCTAACATAGGATGTTAACTAACATTTTGATGATCAGAAAGTAAAATGGACCCAAATATTTGGAAGCAATGAAAATATTCTATGTCAATAGTCAAGGGACATTACAGCCTCCATATTGCCCAGCCTGTAATTATATTACAGTTATAGCAGTATTGCAAAGTAAAAGGACCCATTCCTATGGCAACATGCTTCGGGTGGCTATGGGGGCCTCAGATCTGAGAAATTATGTCTAGCTTATTTTGCATGAAGATTTATTTTAAATTATTATTTTTTTTACTACATTTATGCTTATAAAGCTACTGGACTTTATCTTTTTTTCCCACCTACTTCTTTCTAAGAATCTACACTGGCCAATGTACAGTCGAATTACTGAAGGCCGACTATAAGTGATATATTTGAGTGTCTGCCAGTAACATGTGTTGATACTGAACATAAACAGTCTGTGTTCAAAAATAATATTCTTAATGATTATGCTGTATTGCTTTCCTTACATTATACAAATACTGAAGAATGTAAATTTCTTCAGATGTCAAAAATTCATCTATCATATTACATACCATATGCTAAAAGGCAGTATCAGTTAAGAGGGAAGAATCTAAAATCACGATTCTGAGTTCAAGTGTCATCTCCAAAATGTACTCGCTGAGTACATTTGTGAGCAAGTAATCTAGATTCTCTGGGCCTTATTTCCCTCACCTGAAAACTGGGAATGTTAGTACATACATTAAAGGATTTCTATGAGGATTAAATGACATAGTATATATAAAATACAGAGCCGGAATGTCTAGAATTCAGAAAAGTAAATATCAGCTAATGTAACTGTTATTAGGGTCATTCAGCTGGCCCTACATTCATGAGATGATTTATACATGCATATATACACACAAAACATATATTCACGAATGCAGAACACATATAATATTATGTACACAAATGCATGTATACACTTACAAAGAATTCTACATGGTCATAGCCATTCAAGTACCCAAAAGAAAAGAAAGCTGCAGATCTGCTGAGGCTGCTACAATTTAAAATGCCTCATGTTCAGTCAATTTTTGAAATGCTGTCTTAAGAAATTCAGCAATTACAGGGAATCTGGGCAAAATTCTGCAAGAGCAGCTTTTTTCTAATGTATTTCCAATATGAATTTGATTATTAATCAAACATTAGCATATCTGCTACATATTGTGCCATATTCCCAGAGTAGCTAATTTGCTATTTGGTTATACAGTACGAAGTTTTAAGAAATTAATACATGGCTCCTCCAGGACATTAAGAAGCTTATAGGACAGGTTTCTTAAAACAAGGCTCAAATCCTAAGCAAGCAAGTGGCACTTTCCATGAACACATGCTCTGCAACAACACAAAAACACTAACTCAAAGTTGTGAAATGATTTAGTCCTTATAAAAAATGTTCAAATGATATGAAACCAAAATGGAGAAAGTAAAAAATGGTGAGACATGACAAGACATAGATCTGAATCTTTATCTTTACATTCACGTACAGGAATATTTCATGGTGTACACATTTTCTAAATCACTGCCTTTCAGAAGTATGACTTTCATTTATGACTGCATCTATGTTTCTTAAATGCTACAAGTACCGGTATCCAGCTTTGTATCCTTTGTTCTCTCCTGGTTAGTATTTTATTATCTGCATTCCATTTGCTGCCTGAATAAGCCTTTTCCTGGACTTCCCTACTGTCATCCATCCTTTATTTCATCAATTAAAAAGGGATCTCAACACTGAATTCAATTTTGTTCTTTGGTCTAAAACATTTCACAAGATATTAATGGCAAGCTCACCAAAGATTATTTGATGTAACACTAATTACCTTAAATATAATACCAATGAAAGGAAATACTGCAATTTCAATAATTAATACAGAATAGAAAAGTAACGTAATTCAGTACAAAAATGTTGAGTTTCTTTCCTAAGTTTCCTTGTTTGAAGTAGAGGAGAAGGTAGGGGCAGACATTCTAAGTCTAGGAAACTGGATAAGATTATTAAGAAGCTTTACAGGTTAGTGAGACTTAAAAAAATTAACTTTTTTTTTAAAAACATGGCTTCTCTTGTTATGTCACTAGAATGATACTTCTATTCCTGCGCTTGGTAAGGGTCTGCAGGAGGTGTGATGGAGGAGGCTGTCATAGAAAGAGCAAAATAAATATGGAAGAGGAAGGCAGTTAAACAAGGGAAAATCATGAATTTTCACATGAACGGTCACATATATAAGCTTTCCACTTCTCGACCACATTACGGTCGTGCCATGTCCCCTTTAACCATAGCGTCTACTCCTCCCTCTTCCATGCCCAATTCAGAATTTGCCAGCGTGGCAGCAATAGTTAACATCTACTGAGTGGCTATCAGGGGTCACTCATTCTGCCATGTGCTTTCAATGTCTCACCTCACAGACTTCTCAGATCATTCCTTTGTGGAAGGTACTATTATTTTCCACATCCTCTAGAGATGAAATTCAAGATTCAGAGAAGAAAAGTGTCTTGCTCAGAGTTGCAGGAATTCAAACCAGGGTATTTCAGAGTCTAGCGGCCAATTTTGTAGCCATTCCCTCCCATCACCATCTCGGTGCAAGGACACAGAGATCAGGACCACTTAGGTAATATCAAGATGATATTGCACATTAACCTCCACGCAGCACCAAACATTGGTAGACATTCTTGATAAAAGTAAGCCACAATTCCTATTTTTCTTAGTTGTAACTTAATGCATCTCAGTCACAAGGAAGAAATTATCTGTTTATTTTTTACATCACCTACTGGTTAAGCATGAGGCCACAGAGACATTATTTTCAAGATATGCAATGCATTTATGGAATCCAAAATGTTTACTATAAACCTCACACAAGAAGATCTTAATATAAGTTTTTATGGTTCCAAGCACATTCTCCCTCTTCTATTTTACATTAAGGTTCTCAGCCAAGCCTCTCCTAGTTTTTAGCATAGAGTAAAATTAGCGTATGAATATTATGGAAGTGGTTGAATTCAGGACATCTCTGTTGCTCTCTGGCGACTGCTCTTACTGATTTCACCTTCTCTACTTCACACCCATTACTTTAAGGAGGTCGAACAAAGAATGAATGCTAGCTCTTTTACCTGTTTAAGAGCCTTTTTGGTGTGTTGCTGAAAGGAAGACGCCAACTTGCTTTGCACTGCTGTGTTAGTAAGGCTTGAATCTCGAGTGGAAGACGCTTCATCAGTTACCTGCTTCGCACAAACTAGAAACAGAGAGAGTTTTTTTTATTACTAATTTGAATTCCTTTTTTTATATCCACCGTAATTAACTCACTTGGAGCTTCTCTCCAATTGAAAATGGATACCTAAAATAAAGCCAAATGGCACAGTGAAAAGAAGAGTATCTAGATTTGAGAGAAGAGATCACTTGATAACCGTGTGGTCACAGTTACAAGTAACCTTTCTACTCCCCCGTTTCCTTACCCACTAATTGATGATAATTCCTATGTCATAGGGCTATTGTGCGGACACACAAAAAAAGAGCATAATATCTGCCTCAAGACTTGGGAGTCAGTAGATACTTTCCAAATCTGAATATGCAGATTGAGCAATGCATAGTCTTTTGAAGAAACAATGTAAATTTATGAAATTGTTTCAAATCTATCAACCGCCATGGTGTTCTTCCATTTAACAGCCCTCCTTCTATAGACTCCCTGGCCTACTGGGACATGTTTATCTCGTCCTACGGGCCAAGTCATCTATCACAGAGAAGGAAAAACAAAAGCCAAGATGCTGGGTGTCAATTTAAGGCAATTATTTTCAAGAACATCATGCCCTCTGCAGATAACCATATAATCTGCCCATTTTTGCCAGAGTCAAGCTTTCCTGTTGCCTGTTCTAGAGAGGACATTTTCTTCAAAAAGGCTGTTTTTTAGAAGAACCAATGTTTCCCTGACATAGGTGACAAGGGCTCACATTCACTTTCGGCTCTGTGGAACCTGGGTTATAACCGGCCCTCATCCTCGGCCCTCAAACGTTCCACCCGAGAGACAAGGCTGAACACTGCATGACTCTGGCCACAGAGATGCAGGCCCTCTTCTGTGCACACCAGAGGGGAAGGCATTATTCGGAAAATCAAAGTAAGGAAGCACTGTGATTGGTGTCAGAATGGAGACAGATGTCAAAGGCAGGAGGCAAGAGGAAGTTAGATGGAAAAAAAGAACTTGAGAACATATTGGAAAAGCTCAAAATATGACTTTTAAGGGCACCAGGGTTAACACTAATCCAAGAAAATTTTCCAAGGAACAGTAACTTGAGAGGATTCTGACCTGAGCTTTAGAGGCAGGTGGAGGAGTAAAAATTATTCTAGTCAAAAATGGAAGCATATGCACGTGCACAGTGTTGAGAACACTCAAGCTGCTTTAGATAGACTCAAGCACATGTTGCCTAGAAATAAAAATGCGGCTCATGAAAGAGAATGTTGGGAAAAAAGAGTCAAGTTTTGTTTTAAGACAGAAAGTCTTGATTAAGTTCCTGAGGACTAAACAAAATGAACAAGTTTTAAACAATAATTATTAGTTATTAATCCCAGGCGCTTTACATATGTGATCGCATTTCATCCCTGCCCCTTCATTGCTGCTTCCTTGCAAGATGGAAAGGTACTGCCTCTGTTTTGGAGAGAGGAAACTAGAGCTCAGAAAGACTCAACAACTTGCCCACAGTAACACAGTCAACAAAATAGCAGAGCTAAAAGCCATGGCCAGATCCATATTAAAATATTTGGCCTCAAAGCCCAGAACTGATGCAGAAAATTCAATGTCTAAAGAAGTTTAATTTAGTTGTATCCTGAAGGTAGTGAGACAGGAGGTTAATAAGGGCAGGGAGATCAAGTCATTTAACCACTGACATGAAAAAGTTAAGAACTGTGGATGAGAGTGATTGGCCCAGGAAGCACTAGGGTTGAAGAAGCCAAAGGATTTGCCCATGGACGAAGTCAGAGAAGTCCCCAAATTAATGATCAGGTGACTTGTTTCTATTTGATTCCATACAATACTTTTCCTTAAAACAGTCTAAACACTGTAGTTAAGAAACACTTTATAACACTGCTCTCATGACGTATGGCTCCTAGACTTTTCTCCTTGCAATGATCACTAGAGTGAATGGTAACACTTTGCCAAATCTTACTCATCAAGAAATATCAGAAATTAATCATAGGCTTACATTCCAAAGATAAATTTACTTTTACAGTAATTACACAGATGGCCTTTTTAATGTTCTGAAGTCTCTATGAAGTGAGACAAACTGAGGAATTGAGAGGAAGGTGGCAGAGAGGACAAATGATTCTAACTGAACAGACCTAAAAGTTGCAAAATAAGCCCAGCCAGAAGCAAAGTGGGCATTAGCAAATATGTTTTATTACTTCACATTCTTAGAGTATTATTTCCCCCTTGACAAATGGAAACTTACTGATTAGTTAAAAAGGAGCACCAAATGCCGTCCGTGGATTTTAGGGAATCTAGGGAAAATATGAGAATGCTTCTACATACTGGACATCCAAACAAATTTACCCATTTGCTTAGGAAGTGCTTTTATTCATAATCAAAAAATGACAGATGCTGAATTAGTCTGTTTATAGTGAAAGCCTTGCCCCCGCCCCCCTGCATTCATCTGACTGCGACAGTAAGCAGTACACAATTAGCCCTCCATCCTGAGCAGAACAGGCATCTTATAACTTGCTCTATTCCCTCTGACCTAGGAAGCCATAGGGTATCATGATACCTATTTCAGTATCAGAAGATACAATGCATATTTTGATTTAAATTCACTATTACACCAAGTTAATAGTGATTCACATATATTTAGTGTTTCCAAAAGGAAGAATTGGTTCAATTTGGAGCCCAGAACTTCAGATGGAGGGCAGGACAATAAAATGAAACAGCCATCAAGCAATCCCTTAAAGGTTTTTCTCAAGATGATTCATTTTTCTTTAACTTACCTCTATTTTGCTTTATCTTACATTCCATCCTATGCTCAAGTGAAGCATCATGAGAATTCCTTCCTACATAGTCAATTTCTTCCCTGATCCCCTTTTCTGGAACTTGGTCCTACTTCCCCAGATCAAACCATGTTTCCCTAATTATTTCTGATCAACTATTTATCGAACCTCTAAAAACAGTAAATGTAATAGAAAATGAAATCTACAAATGAGTATTCCTTTGGGTTAAAAAAAACAAATACCTATTTTTAAGGAAAAAAGTCAAGAAATAATAAAATGCACAATGTAATCCATAAGTTCCAAACAGTGCACCTGCGTGTGTGCTGTGTACATGCACGTGTGTGTGTGTGTGTGTGTGTGTGTGTGTGTGCTGACAAAAATGAACCCTTAAGACGGGTGTATGAGTGATTTTATTCATTCTTTTGCCACGTATATGATGAGGGTGGCTGAGTTGAAAAACACCAACTAGTTGGACTGTCGAGGTTCATGCAGATTCATATTCTGACAAAACATACAATTTTTCACTTTTACTTCATTCTTGCAGCTTTCTTAATAACAGATGTGATAAATAAATAATGCGGGGCTCATTTTAAACAGTTGCCTGAATATTTATGGAAGGGACTGAGTTTGGCCTCTGAAATACAAGCCAAAGAAAAATTAATGTTAAAGAAAGGACCAAGGGAAATGCCCTGTATGTGAAATTATAACAGAAACCAGGAAACTGAAGAATTAGGACAGATGTTTTATCCAATGAATATCAAACACTGACAGGCAGCTTAGAAAGTGATATCTTTTTGGCATCAAACAAGAATGGGGCTTTTTTTTTCTAACTTCACTGGCATGATCACAAAACGAATGCCAGGATTTATACCTCAAAACCCCACAAGACTGCCTGCCCTTTCTGTAGGTGGACAAAATGAAGACAAGGAAACATTTTTTTTTAAAGGTACAGAAATGCTATTTCTGTCTACATTTTGCTTGGCTGCCAAAACTAGGCAAAGCCAAAGACATAGTTAAAAGCTAATCTGCTTGTTTTATATTCAAACAGGTAATGAGGTTCTCAGTATTTGTTGCTCAACTACCTCCACTCTCACTCACACTCAGATTCCCAAACCTCCCATCCAAAATATTCTATTTGGAAGGCTCAGGACCAAAGAAAGATGGAAGATTCCACATCATCATGAGACCATCTTGAAGGCTAGAGAAACTGGTAGCTGTCCAGCAAGACTGGATTTCTGACTCTCAGAGTCTCCATGTTGTCCTCCTTGCTCCCCTTTCATTCACCCTTCAACTTGAAAATGTGATCAAACTAGAAAATATGGGTTAGAGCTCATATTTTTTAAAGTTGAGTGACATAAGGTATCGGCACTACTCCCCCCCAAAGTGTAATTGCTAATCCATTGAGAAGTATACAAGAGGGCTTTGACCTTTAAACCAAGACACAAAGAAAGGAGAAATTAGAATGCAACCTTGACTTTGTCTCTCTCTCATCTTACATCTTGTCTGCTTCCCCAACTCCCATCCTCTCTGATCCAACCGAGACCCTGCTGTATTTCTATATTTATTGTACTTGCTCCAACTGTCCCTCACCAAATACCCTTCTCCATTTCTTTGCCTGGCGAATTCATCTTGACAGACCAACCTGGAACAGCTTCCCCCAAAGCCTTCCTGACTATGCCCGTCTCTGAGGTGGACTCACTCCTCTTCTTCCCATGTTTCCTTGGAACTCAGTATATGAATTCACGGCATTCTTTGCAAACAGTGCTTCTGTCTGCCTCACCACCCACAAGTCCAGCCACTCAGGGACTTACACTTAGGTGCAAAGACAGGTGCAGAGCAGTTGATCTATAAATGTTTATTAAATGAAATTGTCAAACTTGATTTTCATGAAATGTATCTAAAGGGTCTATTTTTAATGTTAACATTCAATTACTGCTTTTAATAAGAATTCATGGAAGGGAAAGTCAGCAAAGCAGAGTTTAATTATTGTGGAAAAGCATACATAAAGTGAATTTTTTTATCTTATGAAATTTTTTTAAATCATTCTAAAATCAATTAGGGAAAATATGAAAACCAAACCACCAAACATCCTATGCATGTTCGTGGAAAGTCACATGACCTGCCGCTCCATGTAAATAAACTTCCTTCTGCCATCCTGACTTGTTACCTTATTTTAAGAGGAAAGCCACAGTTTGGGGATTTTGCATAGTTAAATAAAAAATAATTTAAAAGCCAAAATTAGAAATCACAATGCTTATCTGAAATGGC